GTGCTTACCTTGCTCCCAGAGACCCGGTCCCTTTCGGGAGGGTAACAATGAAGCCGTCTGAGCACTAGTGACGGGGGGTGATTATAGAATATACACACACACACACACACACACACATATATGTTTGTTTACAGGTATTTGTTTAAACATTAGTGTTCAAGTTTCTAGGGTAAATAACTAAGAGTGGGGTTACTGGGTCATATGGCAAATAAATACTTAACTTTATAAGAAATTGCCAAACTGTTTCCCAGAATGGTTGTAACATTTCTAATTCTAATCAGTTCTGTTGAGAGTTCAGTAATTCTGCATCCTTGACATTTGTTATTGGCCCTTGTTATTGTTTTAAATTTTAGCTGTTCTAAATAGGTGCGTTGTTGTTGGTAGTTGCTGTCAGGTTGATTCTGACTCATGGTGATCCTATGTGTGTAGAGTAGAGCTGCTCCATAGCGTTTTCAGGTCTGTAACCTTTTGAAAGCAGATTGTCAGGCTTGTCTTTTGTGGGTTCAAACCAGTAACTTTTTGGTTAGTAGTTTAACTATTTACGCCACCTAGGGGCTTAGGGGTACCCAGTTCTCGTTTAATTTGCTTTTCCCAAATGACTTATGATATTGATCATAATTTCAGGGGAATATTTTCCATCTGCATATGTTCTTTGGTAAAGTATCTGTTTAGAGCTTTGCCTATTTTTTGTTGGGTTATATGTGTTTTTCTCTTTTTTTTTGGAAGTAGGGAAGATTCTTTATTTAAGCTTTTTTCAAAAAAATTTTTAAATTGTAATTTGGGTGAAAGTTTATAGGGCAATTTGATTGTCCATTCAACAATTCATACATTTTTTTTTTTTTGGTGACATTGATTGCAGTTCCCATATTGTAATAGCACTCTTTCCACTTCCTGCTGGTGTTTGCCATTTCCCTTCATCCTTCTTTCCTATTGCTTTCCTTCCTCCATCCCTGGGCAAATGCTGCCCTTTTCATGTCATATGGTTGATTGTTCTTATGAGCATGTACTTCCCTGGTGTTATTGTTCACGTTTTATGCCTGTCATTTGGCTGAAAGTTAAACCATGAGAGCTAGTTCAGTTCCAGGCTTAAAGGGTATCCAAGGGCCATAGTTTCAGGTGTTCTGCTAGTCTCCATCATATCAGTAAACCTGGTATTTTCTATGATTTTGAGTTTTGTTTTACATTATTCTCCCACTCTATCCAGGACCTCCTATTTGTTATCCCTTTTAGAGGGGTCAACAGTGGTAGCTGGGCACCATCTAGTTCTTTTTGTCTCAGGGTTATGGAAGCTGGGATTCATGTGGTCCATTAATCCTTTAGTGTTTGTTTGCATGTTTGATTTTCTTCATTCTCCTTTGCTCCACTTAGGGAGAGATGAATAGTTGCATCTTAGGTGGCTAATCACAGGCTTTTAAGATCCCAGTTGCTACACACCACAATAGAATATAGAACATTGTCTTTGTGGACTATGTTATGCCAGTTGACCTTAGTGTCCCCCAAGATTATGGTCCTGAGTCTCTAGGCTGCTTCCTTCTTTTTGAGCTTGCATGTAATTTCTCCCAGTCTGAGGTTTGTCTTTTTGTTCTCAGCAATGTCATTCAGGGAGCAAGTTTTTAATTTTGATGAAGCTCAGTTTATCTATTTCTTCTTTTATGGATTGTGCTTTTAGTGTCACACCTGAGAATGCTTTACCCAACCCAGGGTCACAAATATTTCCTCCTATGTTTTCTACTAAATTTTATAGTTTTACATTTAGATCTATGATCATTTTAATTTTTATGTATACTGTGAAATAGGTTGAGGTTCATTTTTAACATATGAGATGTCCAGTTGTTGCGTGGTGTTTGTTGAAAACACTATGGTATATCATCAGTTGAATTGCCTTTGTTTGCATTTTTGTCAAAAATTGATTGACTCTATTTGTGTGGGTCTGTTCCTGGATTTTCTGCTTTGTTCCACTGATGGATGTGTCTGTCCCAAAACCTACAGTCTTGATTGCTGTTGCTTTATGGTAAGTCTTAAAATCAGGTAGTAATAATCTTCTCTTTTTTGTTGTTTTCCAGAATTGTTTTGAGTATTGTAATCCTTTATTTTCCTATAAAAATGTTAAAATCCACTTATATTATCTCTGGTGGCATAGTACCTAAGGTACTTGACTGCTAATCAGAAGGATGGCAGTTCAAATCCACCAGTCACTCCATGGAAGGAAGATTGGGCAATCTACTTCCATAAAGATTTACTGCCTCAGAAACCCAAAGTGGGTCACTGTGAGTTGGAATCAACTTGATGGCAGTGAGTTTGGTTTTTTGGTTTTATATCTACAAAAATCCCTGTTGGCATTTTGATTGGAATTATGTTAAATCTTAGATCATTTTGGGGGAGAATTGACATCTTAACCATAGTGAATTATCCAATCCATAAATATGGTATGTATGTTTATTTAAATAGTCTTTTCTTAAAATTAGCATTTTGTAGCTCTCTACATACAAATTTTGCATGTTTTGTTAGATTTATATTTATGTATGAATGTCTGTATGTATTAATATATATTTGGAGCTATGGTAAATGAGAATTACATGAACACACATAAGTGTGTGTGTGTATATGTGAATATATATATATGTAGGAAGAAGGTAGAGGCCATCCACTTCTCAAAGAATTGGCCAGGGAAAGCCTTATGAATAGCAGAGAAACACTGATACATTACTGGACAACTTTATGAATAGCCCAGAAACATTGCCCATTACCGTGCAGAAAGATGAACCCCTTAGGTCAGAAGGCACTCAAATTATGACTGGGAAAGAGCTGCCTCCTCAGAGTAGAACTGGCCTTAATGATATGGATAAAGGAAAGCTTTTGGGACTTCCACTTGCTGACGTGGCATGACTCAAATTGAGGAGAAACGGCTGCAAACATCCATTATATTGGAACATGGACTGTACGAAGTGTGAATATAGGAAAATTGGAAGTTGTCAAAAATGAAATGGAATGCATAAAGATTGATATCCTAGGCA